GAAATCTGAACTAGCAATGCACCTGGGTGAGTTATATGCTAACTCTCTATACAAGTACAAAATCAGAGTTCTTACTTCTGAAATGGTAATATAAAAAGTTACAGATTATTCATGGGAATAATAAGTCTTGGTTATCAAAGCCTTGCAGATGTCTAGACATGTCATGCAAAAAAAAATGCCATTTTAAGTCCCAAAACTAAAGTTATTTTAGTAAAACATAGCTAAAATAAATCTAAATTATTTTAAACATTTTTTATAGAACTACCAGGAAAAAAGTGTGGGCTTTTTTTTTTCTTTTTAGTTCCAAGAGCTTAAATGAAACATTCATGCATTAAATTCAAAGTCTGACTGTCAAATCATTTCACTTTAATAAAAATTTGAATTACTGCCTTAGGGCATTATTAAATATCAAATAAAAGCACACATCCATAAGTCTGATTTCCCAATATAATTTTTATGTAGAACTATAACTAGATTTGTATAACATATTTCAAGATAAAAGGATCAAAAATGTATTCATAAAAGGATGAAGTCAGAATTGGGGTCGCCTTTGAAAGAATTCCTGCACCATTCTTAGGAATTTCTGGAAAAATGACCTCCTTTAAGTAATCTCAGCCTCCAAAAAAAGGACATGAATCCATCCTCCTTTTCAAAATACCTAAATTGTAATTGACTTAAGACTTTCAAAATTATACATTACCTTCCTATCATACAGTGAATATGAAGTATCTGAAATATACATAATCTCATTAACATTAAAGTCTTGTGCTGTGTGTGCATAAGAGAGATAAAACAGTGATGGTTATTTAGATATTTAGAGAGGCACCTCTGGTCTAGGATGATATAGATCAAAAATTCAAGATAATCTTATTTCATTAAAAAGGGTCATTTATAGTCACTGGTAATCACAGACAGTATATTAAGCCTAGGCTGGAGAAAGTCATAAATTCATGTTGAACAAACCTCATCACACCTCACTTCCTGCCCCTCTTACTAGGTGGCTCCTGTGAGCCCACCCTTCTACCCTTCTCCTGCTCCAATATCCCATCCTCCCTGCTGCTCTGGCCCCTCCTGGCTGCTACCCCATTCTTCCTTAAATAATAAAAGCAAGTCACAAAATCACTATGTCTATAAACCACCACCTCTTCTTCCTTCCTATTAAAGCGCATGAAGTGTCCGTTCTCTTACAAAAGTCAATCTACAAATCTGCTTAGGATTTCATCCCCTTTCAACTTTTTAGATACTTCACAGCTAGGACTACCCCTCTGAGAAACAGCATCTTCAGCCCCTCCGTCCGCTGGCTCACCATCCCTAGCATAAAGAAAAGTTCCAGTATTTCTTTTGTTTTAAAAAAAGAAGTCTCATTCTCACCACAATAAAAGAAATTATATATATGTGACACTGTTAGCCAATGCTACAATGGTAATCACATTGCAATATGTAAATGAATCAAGTCAATGCCATGTACACCTTAAACTTACACAATGTTATATGTCAAGTATATGTCAATTTTTTTAAAGTCTCCTTCAATCTCATCCCCTCTCTGCTGCTGCAGCCTCTGCCATCACATAGCATCTCTGCCTCCTCCCTTGACACTCAGCTTTGTCCCGTGGCAACATGCATTGCTCAGCATCACTCCACCCTGACCGCCAGTGTGGGGACACTATGACCTCTGTCCAGCTGCCTGGGTCCCACTTCCAGTTCTGCTGGGCAACTGACCTAACTTCTCTGCGCTTTGGTTAATGTACCTGTAAAGACTCAAAGATTGTATGAACATTTAATGAATTAATGCCTATGCAGCATTAGGACATTATACATATATATTTAATCTCTATGCCAACAACCCCCATATTCAGTTTAGGCCTCTTCTCTGATCTCCACTCTCAAAATTCCAGCTACCTTCATGGTGGATCCACTATTGGTGAGTGACAGGCATCTCTCATTCAACATGCGCCAACTCAGCTCTTTTTGGGAGGGTGGCGGGGAGTGGAACCTGCCTAAAACAATCTTTTTTATATTCCCCCTTTAAGGCTACAGAAAAATCTGCACCTAGATAAGATGCATAGTAAAAATTCCCTCATCCACATAGCCAAGGTCTCCATCAGATTCCACGGTAAGTATATGGTACATCACATTCTACTCCACAGATGCATTTTCTTGTGAGTCTGTGCGGTTATGATCAATTCTTTCTGGAAATATTAGTTTCTCACAAACTGCCTCCTTGATCGGTAAGTACTGTGATATTTCATTAGGTTCCATGAAGAGGGAAGGTGAAACGTGGATTAAATTAGCAATTTTGCTCTCTCGTGATGTATATTCTCATAACATGTAGGTCTTGTCGGCCTCGTGGTAAAGTCTCCTGTCATTCATCCTGATAAGCCCTCCATCAATTCACAAGAAAAACCACCACAGCAGGAAAAAGCTGGAAGGCATTATTTTAATTTTCATACTTAGACTTGAAACTCCATGATCATGAAGTTCATCCTCAAACAAGGGAACTTCTGCAAAAAACTTAATCTGCTCTCTGGCTTTCAACTGCACTGTATCTATATGATTTACCTTTAACTTGAGTGATTCTCCATGTAATGTTCCCTTATAATCTATTGCATAGGTTCAATCGGAGGGTTTAATAACCTCCCTGGAATGTTCACCCTAAACATCATTCCGGGGGTATATGGCACATGCAATTCATCAGCTAACTTCTCCACCTCTGCCAACTTCATGATGTGGGTCTTGGCTGCCATAAGCTTCCAGGGCCCAAAGAAGTCCCAGTGGTTGATCTGGAAGCCAGGGATCCATCACGGTAAAGACAGTGCCCACATGGGCCACATGGAACAGGCTGGAGTGGTGGTGGCAGCAGACTCGAGTTCCCCTGCCTCACTGAGACCCAGCTGCCGGGGCTTCCGAGCTATTACCATCCTAACTCAACTCTTTATCCTCCTTTCTATCCCGAACAGAGCCTCCTCCAGCTTTCCTGTTGTCACTCAATTACACTCTATCCACACAAAACTTATCTTTGATATTTCCACCCTCTTCTACCTCATCCAATCTGTCACTAGCTATCACCTTCAAGGTCTGTCTCACATACATGAACGTCTCTCCCCTTCCACTGCTCCTCGTCAGAATCCGAGCCTCCATGTCTTTCACCTTGGCCACCCAGCTGACTTCTGCAATGTCCTTCCACTATAATCCAGTGCATTCGATCTCCAGTCCCTGTGATCTACTGAAAACATACATGGGATCAGGCCACTTCCCTTAGTAAAAGTCTGTATAAGTTCTCAATGCGTCAACAATAAAATAAAGATGCTTTCACATGGCTGGCAGGCCCTCTAAGAATGGGCCCTGCCTAACTTCCCGCTTTGATTTCTCTCTTCAGGCTCACGGGGTCTTCCTTTATGTACCCCAGTGCATTAAATTTTTACCTCCTCCACAAGGAGTAGCCCCTTGGGAACTTTCCAAAAGATATTCCCACTATCGGAAATCTCCATCGCTACATTTCTTTGTTCTCATTCATGGAGTTACTACAAGTTTCTTCTCATTCCTACCAAAGACAACTTGCCTGGTCATCAACTTCAAAACTAGGAGGGTGAAAGGCACTGTAGTGTCTAACATAGAAACTGAGAATGAATGAATGACTGGAATATAGGATATTATAGTGCTAAGGAACTTCTAATTTGCCTGGACATTCAAGATACACAGTGTTATGTGTCATGATGGATTCAAAGTAAAATAAACATGTTTCAATCCTCAAGAAATTTGAAATCTAACCAAAAAAATAAGAAATACACAAAGTTAAATGGGAGAAATAATGTGAAATGAGAGGTACAATTTAGAGGAGAAGCAGAGAATTCCTGCTGAGAGTGAGTGGTATTTGAGTTGGGCCTGGAGGGTAGCAAGGATTTCAATAGGCAAAAGGTGGGACAGGAAGGACTGTGTGAGCAAAGCACAATCACAGATGTAAACAGACAGTTTGGCTGGAGTACTGGGTACATACAGTGTAGTAATAATAGACAGGCACGGAGACTGGATTGGGAAACACATGGACAAACGATCACCTTTTGCAATTCCTGTGTTGACTGTCTAGCTCATGAGACTGTGAGCTCCTGGACGCCAGAGATTTCTACTCATTGTACCGCTCGCCTAATATGTGACTATCTACTCCCAATGGTCCAATAAACAGTCAAAGCTCTGTCCTGCTTACCTAGAAAACTATTTCAACAGATACGACTCTCTTATGGGAAGCAGTGGCTTGCCGGCCATGTGCTGACCTATTACACACTCAGGCAATTTACAAGGTAAAGAAATAATTCAGTGTACAGTCATTTTCGTAGACTTTATCTTTCCCATGTTTATGATGTTTTATTTTGTTAGCTAATATAAGGAATCCATATATTGAATTTAATATATTAAAATATATATTATGTTTTAATCAATCAAAAAATACCAATATCAATCAAATAATATTCTGATTATTAACCCGTGCTTCTTGATTATCAAATAATAGCACTTCCATAGGACAAGTATTTTCATTCATGACAGATCTGCCGTCTCCTACACCAAAAACAATACAATCAAATCTGTGTCAGACAATGAGAATCTGCTTTGAAGCTCACACACTCCTCCAAGTCCCTTCCTTCAAGTTCCTCCATCATGAGGCAGTGACTGCTGAAGCTTCAGGGGTTCAACACAGTACAGTACAGTACTAAAGGGGTGCTTGCATATCCCTGTTTCTCTGTCCTTAGGAGAATCTGTATTAAAGCAACATTTGGAATGAAAGGCTGCTCTAGTGGGAAAATCTGAGGATTGCAGATTCTTTTCAACAATGCATGAAATTTTTTTTAAAGCCACCTCACTTCTAAATTAACAGGGCTTGAGAATGTGTCATAAATGTTATAAAATAAAATTCATATTGCTGAATTATCAGGATCACCACAAGAGTACCTCTGGTCTGGTAGGTTTACACAACCATGTGCCCACTTCCTTACTTAACCTGCACGTACCGGAGGAAGCCGGGCTTGTTCCTGTTCCCTTTGGCTACTGAAATGCAGCTCTGATGACTCTGTCACTAAGTGGCTGCGTGGGTCTAAAATTGTCTCCCAAAATCCCATCACAGCCTTCCACGAGTTCTGCCCCCTTCACATGTGTCCTCAGCCTTCGGAATTCTTCAATCTGAAAATAAAAGCGGAAAAATATAGATTAATCCTTTACCAGACATTAACAAGAGTGACTTAAAATATGCATACATTGCCACGATTAAAAGAGGAAATTAAAACTAAACTTCAAAAACAGGAAAACAAACTTAATTCTTCCAGACCTAAGACATTAGCCATGATCCTTGCACAAGAAAAACAGAGACCAGAGAAGTAAGTACAGGTGTCATGAAAACCTGCTGGACTTATTAATGCAAATATGATATGCACCTCTCTCAAAAATCTTTCATGCCTGCCAGTTAGGATAACATGAAAGAGTGAATGAATGAACGTGTTCTCATAGGCTTCCCAAGTATATCTTTAATTAATAAGTTCTGATGTTACTGTACGTTAACACTGATTAAATGTTAGATTTATTAGATGGAGGTTTCCTTCATCAAAAGACTCTCTTTGCTGCTCTTCCAGCCCTTTGGAGAACGCAGGTCCAAAGAATACCTCTAATTTCCCAAAACTTTAAGCCCAGCTTCCTCCCTTAACAATATCAATTTTCAAGTTCATTTCCCTTTCTCAGGTGGCCTCTCCAGGTCCCAAGGTTTCCCTTTACCTGGGAAGAGGTTGTTTCCATAGTCCCCAGGGGCCTTTCCCATCAGCCACACTGCAGTTTCTCTGACCTGCCAGGTCTGTACCCCCTAAGAGCCCGTAGCCTGACAGACATGACCCTTTAAAAAGTATGTAAGCAACAAGCAGACATGTGAGGAACACTGCCAGGCTCATTCCCATCTATAGGGAATGACTTATCTACAGGGCTCATTGTCTGCTATTTCATTTAAATGCCTCAGAGTCACATGACTCAGTCTTCATTCCTTATGCAAAAGGAGAAATTGATACTAAAAAGGTTAAGAAAGTTTCCAAATTAACCAAGTCTGACACTTCCAAGCCCACCTGCTTTTTTCCCAGATCCATGGCCACCTCTTCAGAAATTCTAGTCCAATCAAGAGAACCTACATCCTGCATGGATGCTGAGCAAATGTGATTTGATCAGCATCAATCCACCAAAAGTCCATTGTGTATCAGAGGGTTATAGCCACAAAGGTTTCTTCATACAGCATAGCCATAGAGTCTTCACATTCATAAAGTGAAAGAAAATGCAAGGAATCAACTGACACAGGGTTACTAATAAAAGTCTAAAATCTCCTATGGACTTTAGGGAGCCCATGAAACCCCTGAATGACATGCAAAATTTTTACCTGTGCATTTTTTCTGAAGTAGAAGTTCACTGACCCCAAAGGAGTTGAATCTCACAAGATTCTAATCCAATCCCCACATATACATGTTGGGATATAGAGTTGGGGGTAAATTAAATGGCTTGTTAGATCAGAACCCAGGTTAGAAATCTGACTTCCAATATTTTATTTTTCCATGTCTCCAATACTGTTTGATTTCCTAAGTCTAGGTGTCAACTGTCCTGTTTTTTTAAAGTAATATCTATATTTATATAAAGATGCCAGTCAGATGAGCAATTGGCTGTTTAATCTACATAATGTCACTAGACCTTCTCAGGGTCTTCAAGTGGGGATATGAGTGGCAATTATCACAGGTCACGTCTGGGAGGTTTCTAGAGCTGAGGCTGCATGAGAATCCCCTGTACTTATTTGTGGAATGTATTTCACTCAGTTTTGTTTTCCCTAGGGGTGGGAAGGACCCTGGTCAGGGAGAGGATCCTATGCTTTTTCAAAAAGAAGATTATGAAGGTGAAGGCAGTGGGCTCATCATCAAAAGGCCAGTTCTCATCCTGGCTCTGCCACCTAAGACCCCAACAACCAAATCACATCACCTCTTTAAGCCTCAGTTTCCACATGTGTACGAGGGAGATGAAATGACAGTATTGGCAAAGATGGTGTTAGAAGTAAATAGAATATTTCATGCAAAGTATTCAGCATAGTGTCCAAGCACATGGTATTTGATATCTACTAGCCAACTTCTTTTGAAGTCAAACCTTTAGCATTTTGGATAAATATTTAACTCCAATTTTATATGCAGGAAGTAGACTGAAAAAAATAAACCAGTTGACTGGGAAAATGGAAAATCATCCTCCTTGCATTCAGTTTCCATGGAACCATATGTCATAGCTGCCACCAGAACCTGTAACCTTGGGCAGGGTCCCCGATGAGCAACGTGGACTAGAAACTTGACTGCTTCAACGTATTTTAAGAAATTCTCCACTTTCATTGGCTTTGAAGCTTATTTTAAAGCGAGGTTAACTTTATATTTACGTATTGTGAACTGAAGATAAACCTTTCAAGCTCCAGGCCTCCCCTGCACACCTTCAGTGAGAACAGCTTCTAGAGGAGATGATCTGAATCAACAGCGAGCCAGTCTCAGACCACTGTGTTCTTGGAGAGAGCTATTTCACAAGAAATGCTTTTCTCTGATCATAGCAACACTTTGAAGACTTCAAACATCGACAGAGAAAAACACGTCTTTCTGAAATGCCAATGTTTCTGAAGTAACCACCCCTCAAACCCTTTAGTCACTTCAAATGGTTTCAAGTGCATACTGCGTTATCCCACGCTGAAATGAGAGATAGTAAGAAATTAAAAAAATAATATCCCAGGATAAAAGTCTTCAACACAATTCAAATGTCAGGCAGTAGAGAGACTATCATTATCATATATATCCGTATGTGTGATTTCGTCGATTTTTAATGCTACTCTACTTGAGCATGGCATTTGTTTTTAAACAATGTAAAAGAGGGATCCCACTCTTCAGGGACAGATCCTCATCTTCTGAAGGCAGCAGGGCTGAATATTCACTGTTCTCTGAACCTGGGTTGCACTCCAATTCATCTAAGTTAAGACATTTATTCCAACCTTCACTGACTCATGAGCCAACCAGGCTATTCACTCACAGTTCAACTTTTAAGCTGCTTTCTTTATGAGTGCATTTAAAGGGCTAATGTCCAGGGTTTGAGGTTTGGCACTAATTATTTTCAGGAGTTCCCACAATCCTATGTACATCCTCTAACTGACTTATTGGGACTTACATATCGTTGGTTATCATGTTAAAAGAGAAAATTAACACATAAAAGTTGGTGTTCTCATCTTATTTTCTTTTATCATCAGACTATGGTGATATGTGAATTCGAATAATATAATTCCTTATGGTAGGAATCAAATAAAAAAGCCGAAAGCAAACTGTACTTAAACAGTCTACACATATGTACATAGAGTGAGATTGTATATAGCTATCCACCTTTCAGGTACTGCATGCAGCCTTGCTGTTTGTTTGTTTCATTTTCTTCTACCCCATCTGTCAAATCATCACTTCCCCTTTCGTACTAACCTCTCACCCATTAACCAACCCTCATTCCATCACTTACTCTTTAATCTGATCTTTTCCTTTTTTGAGGAAGAGCTCAGAGCCCGTCCTTTCCCCAGAACATTGATGGAAACTGTGTTCTTACTCCAACCCCGAGTCTGGTCTCGGCCACACGATCCTCACTTTAGGATCATGAACTGATAAGCCACACATACTGAAACTTACTCAAAAATTGCACATTTACAGAGTATATAACCACAGGGGATGTGCTCTCTATCATGAAAGACACTCAGGAAATATATACAAAATTTCCTGCAAGTACCTAAAAATAGCGCATTTTAAGAAAGGAAAGAGGGAGTCTCAGAGGAGAGAGAAAGTCCTAGAACTGCACTGTCCAACACAGTGGCCACCCGCCCCATGTGGCCACTGAGCATTTGAAATGCCGCTAGTCTAAGCTGAGATCTGCTGAAGTGCAGAATACACTCTGAAAGTCAATGTGAAAAAATAATGCAAAAAATCATATCAGTGATTTTTTTATATTGATTACATGTTAAAATGATACTTTGGATAAACTGTGTTAAAATAGACTACTTGAATTAATTTCACCTTTTATTTTGACTTTCTTTACTGTGGCTACTAGACATTTTAATCTAGTAGTTGGCTCATATCATGTTTCCATTGGACAGGGCTGGCCTAGTGCCAGCTGTCAGAAACAACATTCTGGTGCTAGAGTGCTGGTCGAAATTACAGCTGGAGACAAATGCCGGTAGATAAAAAACAGTGGTTCCCAAAGTGTGCTTCCTGGAATAAGTTCCTGCCCAGACCTGCTGAGCCAGCAAATCTGGAGACAGGCCCAGCAACCTCCAGGAGACTGTTCGAGAATCACGGATACAGGCAACAATTTACAACAATCGTTCCAAAGCACTTGAACTCATTTTCAAACATGACCACGCTGTGGCCCTGCAACAACTTGGTTTTAGGGTTAACAACCCCTCAAATCGCATGAGGAACACAAGAAAAGAAAGGCCTGCTGAGGAGTCCTGGGCGTAATCAGACCTCCTCGGCCATCCAGGGCCGGGTGTGCTCCCAGGCCCCGCAGGCCAGGCACACACCCTGCCTTCAATCCACAGGAAATAGGGAATGGGGCAGGATGAAGAGGAGGTAAGGTGAAAAGAAACAAAATTGAAAATGGTTTTCCAAGTTCTAACAGACATAGATCCACACAGTGAAAAACAATGGACATAATCCATTATCTTTTGTTTCATTGGTGTTATTTTATGTTGAAAGGGACAGGAAATAACAAAGACAGACTTGAGATGGTAGTTAAGAAATAGAAGTAGATTAGTCGGGGCAGGGGGATGCAGGAAAAGGGGGGGGAGCAGGAAGAGGAGAGTAAAACTTAATGATCAATCCGTGTCTGTGCACGTGTGTGCGTTTAAGTGTGCGCACATACTTGTACATATGCTATTATATCAAAATACCACATTTTATTAATTCTGAGTATTGTTCATATTTTAATGGCTCTATGTCTTACAATTTCTGGTGTTGGATCCAATGACATTAGTATGTCCATGGAATCTCATTTCCAAACATAACAATAAAGCTGGAAAAAAAAAAATTTTTTTTTACTTTGGCTTCCTAACGCTTAGAACACTGTTTCGCTTAAAGTCATTTAGTGGTGATTGATCATTTAAAAAAAAGAAAATTACAGCCCTAGCCGGTTTGGCTCAATGGATAGAGTGTCAGCCTGCGGACTCAAGGGTCCCGGGTTTGATTCCGGTCAAGGGCATGTGCCTTGGTTGCGGGCACATCCCCAGTAGGGGGTGTGCAGGAGGCAGCTGATCGATGTTTCTCTCTCACCGATGTTTCTAACTCTCTATCCCTCTCCCTTCCTCTCTGTAAAAAATCAATAAAATATATATATATTTTTAAAAATTACACTCATTCAAATCCATCCAATTGTGTGTGTTTTCCTTAGCATTTGGTATGCTAACCAAGTATAATGTGAAAACTTCAACTAAGCAGGCACTTCCAGTTCCAGAGTCTAGAATCCCTGGTTCTCAGGAAGGTGGGAATGTTCCACAATGGGTGCAATTGTCAGCCTTACACTTCAGCAGAAAACTCCTCCTTGCCTCCAGCTCAGCTGCTGTGCACTTCACAGGAAAGCGTTATGACTTGGAGCTTGTCTCTTTAACCCTTTGAGTGCCAACCAATATCCTAGGAACTATGCTAAAATTGCCAAGGCATTTTTTGCTGATTTTACAACAGTTTAGAAAAAAAATTATGAATCACAAGAAAATGAAGTTACATATTCAAAAACTTAATGAAACCTTTACAACATTTGTTTTCATCTTTGACATATATTGTTTGCTGATTGTATTATAAAATACTAGTAGAAAAAAAATTTGAACAAAACATATAATGTTAAAATAGAGGGACACCCTTCTCCAATATCTTCCAGAAAATCGTCATTTTCACAGCAATAATTGACATATTTAGCAATATCATCATCACTAATAAAAGCAGACTTAGAACTGGACACCATTTAGAAGCTTTAGGGCTACAAAATCTGAGTAAACTTCATAAAATCGTAGTACCTGTAAAAAATTAGGCAGATAAATGCCAGTGGTCAATTTTAGAACTACAAACATTCGGCATCATAAGTAATCTGCACTTAGGTGCCATCTGTCAATAAAGAGTGAACTACTAGCATCTAATAGTGACACTGCAGGAGGAGCGCGATCGCACTCCCCGGCACTCTAGGGGTTAATGTGGCTGGTCCAGGCATTATTACCCTGTGGCAGATTATGTATTCAAGAGAGCAATTGTTTCCATACTAATACCAGCAGCTTAATCACATATGCTAACCCTATGATGTAAGATGAACATTTTTTCCTCAATACAAGTTTCATATTTCTCAATATCACCAGCTATGTAGAGACTCCACCTGCCATTCGCCATTCCTTTTATCTTATATATCAATTCTCATTCTCTCGATCTTTATCTCTTTTTCTGTTCTTAAGTGCAATAATATGAGACCTCAATTTTTCTTGGTTCAGATTCTCATTTTTACTATTTTCTCTAGACTGTTTCTATGTTGGCTCTGCTTTCTCTGAAATTGTATGAGCAGGAACAGTGAGACACGTAAGTCAAGAACAGACTGATTTATATTCTCTTAAGATTATAACTTTTTTCTAAATCACTATAAATTGCATTTTAATATACATGCCTGTGTGTGTGTGTGTGCGCGCGCACGCGCGTTCACATTTTAACACTGCTGCCCTCTGAACAGATGCTATAGGGAGCTTTGTGCTAACTGCACCTAAATTTTTTTCTCTTGAAAAGCTACTAACTAAAAAGTCATCTATTTTCCTACTTTCTTTTTTTTTTTATCTTCACTCAAGGAGTGAGGATATTTTTTCCATTGATTCTAAAGATAGAAAGAAGAGGAGAGGGGGAGAGGGAGTGAAAGAGAGAGAAACATCAATGTGACAGAGACACGTCAATTGGTTGCCTCCCACAAGCACCCCTACTGAGGGTGGGGATCAGACCTGCAACCCAGGTACATGCCCTTGACCGGGAATCGAACCGGAGACCCTCCAGTGCACAGGCCAATGCTCTAACCACCAGGGCAAAAGTCACCGATTTTCTAGAGCAGGTGAGATTATTGGCTTCGGCTCCCCTTTATCGAGGAAAATGACTTAGTTCCAGTGCACAGGCCAATGCTCTAACCACCAGGGCAAAAGTCACCTATTTTCTAGAGCAGGTGAGATTTTTGGCTTCGGCTCCCCTTTATCGAGGAACATGACTTAGTGAGCTAGAGTTAAGACTGTCACTGGCCTTACTTAGAGGGATGATACAAAGCAAGGTTTTCTTTGAAGTCAGTGAGAGCCAAAGGCACAATGTAGTATCTCTGAAGTTTAGCATAACACACTGGTCAATGTGTTAGTAAAACATTATATCTCACGTGTACAGAACATCAGGTAACATTCAGAATGCAGCTCAACATTAACATTCCCAACACCAGACTAGCAAGGAAATCCTTAATGGAATTCTAAGTGAAATTGAGAATTTTCTTTCTTGTGGCTCAGCAAGGTTAATCCTTAGTTTTTTTAAAAAAAAAAATAGAAATTTATTGTTATAGAGAAAAACTTTATTTTTCACTAAAATTTTTTACCACTTTTAAAGAAAATTACCCCTAAAAAAAACTGTAATGCTAAATACACATGACTGTAGACCCTAAGCTTCTTCGATCTCATCCCCAATTCTGAGATCTCTCCCTGTGGCTAAATCCAATTAAACTTTTCAGTCTTTAACTTAATGTGTGCTCAGAATCTGATACTCTTCATCTCTCTACTCCCTCCTTCTTGAACTTCACACCTCCCCTGGCTTCCACACATCACATCAACCTCCTGACTTTTGAAATTCTCAAACCTTCCCTGGAGGCAACTCTTCCAAGGTGTGCCCCTTAGGACTGCCAGTCTCAGTTCTCTGCACCACTTCTTTTCTCTCCTCTTCTACACTATGGCTTCAACCACCACCTATATATTATACCCGCTTCGTGGATGTCTCATATGTATCCCAAACTCTAAATATTTACAACCATAAACTCAATAAATGTGAACTTATAAAATGGCAGGGAATATAATAAAATATTATTAAAGAAAACTTAGTTTATGTAGAGCAAGCATGTCAAACTCAAAGGCTAACACGGGCCAAATAAACGAGGCATGTGGCCCGCGGGCCGAAAGTTTGACATGCTTGCTATAGAGTAGTGCTCAAGTCTTTTGAGGTTCATCATGAATGAAAAATATAGCCTTCCAGAACAGAGATCCCATCGATCCCTGGAGGATAGGAGACATGTAAAGTACCTCTTTTATAATAATATCAAAGTCCCTGTTTAAAAACATTACAGTTATGTTGCCTCATGCTCCACCAGGTAACTTCCCTGTGTGTTAGCATCTATAGCACCTATTCAGAGCCCACAGTTGGGGAGGGAGGGGACCAAAAGTGGGGCTACGGAACAATCCAGAACTTCCCAGGGTATTCTTTCTAAATACTTCATCCTTCTTCATACATATTCTTCCTGTGCTAGCATAAGAAGAGCTATTTCAAAGCCCACGTGTGACTTACAGAAATAACCAGCATTCTCACTATACTCCCAAGACCTTTCTCCTCTCCATGCTTGAGAAAACCCCCATAAAGGAATGACTAGACTAATCAAAAGTTTGACTATTTCAGTGACTTCTATTTACTCCATAAAAACTGACTTTTAAAATACAGATCATAAAGGATGACTGGGTTTTGTTCATCCTTGACCTTTCAATTGCTTTCACAAGTTCGAGACATTTAACTTTCATCTGCAAAGAAGTGACTGATCTAAAGAGAGTTAAAACATAAAACCGACATTTCCCTTTTACAGAAACAAAATGTAACCTTTAACTCAGAACTTCACTCTAAAAGACTTAAGGTACCGCACTCACCTGTAGCTGGGATATAGTTAAAGGGTATCGGAATAATATCCAGGTGACACCTTCACTGCAAGGTGGAATAGTGAGCGAGCCTTCATACACCCAATAATCACGCAACAGAGGATCTGTGCAACCACGTGGACATGTCACAAAGGCAAGTTAATTAATCATAATTTTGAGACTCCCACAATAATTTTCAAAATTACAAATTGTCCAAATAACACTTCTCAGACTGATGTCATTTATAAACTAGAACCTTACGTGTATTCTTAACTAATCATCATAAAGAAAATAATTGATGGGAAACACGATGAGTCCTCTATTATTTATAGTGATTTCTATCCAAATATGCTATATAAACTTGATATATAAACTTAATACAGTGGGGCCTTGACTTACGAGTTTAATTCGTTCCGTGACGGAGCTCGTTAAGGAGCTCGTTAACTCAAATTACTCTGTCAACTCAAAGCAAAAAATCGGCCGAGAGCTCGTATCTCGGAAAAACTCGCAAGTCGGGACACTCGTAAGTCAAGGCCCCACTGTACATATACACTTTATGTGTACATATATGTAAAATTTAGTCACTTTAGCAAAAGTGTACCCATAGTTGTTGTTGTTGTTTTTACTTTATTGGAGGACTTAGCTAATTACACCTAATATTTATTCAAAGCTTGCTACATGGGAGGAACTATTCAACATTAACTCATTTAACCCTTACAACAAACCAATGAGATAGTTCCTATTAGTAGCATCATTTGTCAGATGGGGAAACTGAATCACAAAGGGTTACATAATTTGCCCAAAGTCAATGGGCTAATAACTGGCAGAGCCAGGATTCCAACCAAAGCATTCTGGCTTCAAAGCCAGTGTTTTCAACCGTTCTGCTCTAGCTACTTCTATCTGTATTGCTTTTTTAACAACAAATTTTTAAAAGCATATTATGATAGAATAAAATAAACTATTCTTATGAAAATCTTTAGCTCTGTATTAGAGAAATTCATTATTGAATATGATGGGTAAATGTTTGGTTTGTTGTAGAGCAGTGGTTCTCAACCTTCCTAATGCCGCGACCCTTTAATATAGTTCCTCATGTTGTGGTAACCCCCAACCATAAAATTATTTTTGTTGCTACTTCATAACTGTAATTTTGCTACTGTTATGAATCGTAATGTAAATATCTGATATGCAGGATGTATTTTCAGGGGTCGCTGTTGTAGAGCAATTAAATGTAGAAAATAGAAGATACGATGCATTGACCTATTTGGTTACATTTGAAACACCAAGAAATTTCCCATAATTTGGGTAGAGATTTGTAAAGACCAAAACTTTGTACAAAATAGCCTTTAACTACAAATTATATTCTGAGTATTTTATACACAATCCCTACCTATTAGGGCAGACCTAAGTAATCAGAATTAACAGCTAAGTATCATTGCAAAGAGGTTACCTTATAAAATTAGATGTAAAGTTTATTTCACTCTATAGATTAATAAAAACTTCACTGATCAATTCTAGAAGTATACCAAGGTTACGTTATTATGCTGGTGCTTACACAGGGGTAGCAATTTTTACAAAAAGGAAACCCTTCATGATTAAATGAAACTAGTGGTAAAGTATTTATTTCAAAAGGTTTACTCCTGTGTTTAGGTAAGGGGTACCTACCACAGAGAATATATATACTGTAAAAAAAAACCTTTATTAACTAGTAATACATAGTTATATATTCTGGAAAGCAATAAATGCATAGCCATAGTTAAAATTCATCTTTATACAATCCATCCATGTACACTTACCCGGTAATAAAGTGTTAGGATTAAAGCAGGGTATTATTTTGGACTTCCCCTAAAAAATAAAAATATATATCCCATGTTAACATAAAATTTCTTAATTTTACAATAAAAGAGTTATTAACACTAAAGAATCCCAGTTGACATCTTTTCTAAAGGACATCATTGGACCCCATAGATTTGTGTCTCCTTCTATCTTCTCATTGGAACAACAGTGACTGGTTCAACAGGACACTGCTGCTCTGAGTCTATGCTATTTCCTTTTCTACCACAGTTCAGTTTTCCCTGGAATTCCTGGTGTGAAATATACAATTGCCTACCTAGTGTCTGTCTGTCCCCTGTCGCCTACTTTTCCTGCTCCTAGCACATCCATACCAGAGACTTGGGCCTTGGAGTAAAATGCCTGAACCCTGGCTCAGGTAATTATTTTGACTTGACTTTCCTCCTGGTACTTTGAACTTGGCATCACAACCTGCCTCCCAAATTCTCATTTTGTCCCATTTGGACTTGGTATTTCAGCTCTCGGATCTCCTCCTCCAGAGAGGGAGATATGTCACGCACATGAAAACATTCTCTTTCAATCCATTTGTATCAAAGCTAAATTTCATTTTCAAAGAAAATATTTGTCCCTGGGCGGAGTGGCTCAGTGGTTGAGCATCAACCTATGAACCAAGAGTTCAAGGTTTGATTGCCGGTCAAGGCATATGCCCAGGTTGCAGGCTCGATCCCCAGTGAAGGGCATGCAGGAGGCAGCCAATCAATGATCCTCTCTCATCACTGATATTTCTCTCTTCTCTCCCTCTCCCTTACTCTCTGAAATCAATAAAAATATATTTAGGGGAAAAAAAAGAAAGTATTTGTGCCCTTATTCAATAATCATATTAATAGCCAGTATTGTAAATAGTGCTAAATTGCTCAGGCCTTTGAGGCAGACAGACATGTCACAGCAGTTGGATATCTCTTATAAGATTACTTTGTGCATGCAGACATAACAGAGAAAGTTAATGCCTAACCTCTACATCTCCTCTTCCTTACTTTCAGAGACTCTTTGACTCACTAAAGCAGCGGTTCTCAACCTGTAGGTCGAGACCCCTTTGGGGGTCGAATGACCCTTTCACAGGGGTCGCCTAAGATCATCGGAAAACACATATATAATTGCATATTGTTTTTGTGATTAATCACTATGCTTTATGTTCAATTTGTAACAATGAAAATACATTCTGCATATCAGATATTTACATTACGATTCATAACAGTAGCAAAATTAGTCATGAAGTAGCAACGAAAATAATTTTATGGTTGGGGGTCACCACAACATGAGGAACTGTATTAAAGGGTCGCGGCATTTGGAAGGTTGAGAACCACTGCATTAAAGAATCCAGCTTGCCCGACCGGTGTGGCTCAGTGGTTGAGCATCAACTGGTGAACCAAGAGGGCACATGCCCAGGTTGTGGGCTCGATCCCCGGTGGGGGGCGTGCAAGAGGCAGCCAATTGATGTTTCTCTCTCATCAATGTTTCTATCTCTCTATCCCTCTTCCTTCCTCTCTCTAAAAAAATCAATAAAAATATATTTATTTTTTTCAAAAAGAATCCAGCTTACTTGCCTCCCACCATCCTCCTGACTTATGTCATATTAGCTGAAGAAATAAAGGAAAATTTCTCCACCAAATTTCTATCAGACAAATGTCAGTGGAAAATGTGTCCTCACACCCTTTTTCCCAGCTTCTTTGACTACTCAGTGCTTTCCCTTGGTGCCTGAATTCGTTCTGAGCCGCTCAGATCTCTGTGAGAGGCTCTTGTCTGGTTCAAGATGCAATGGGCTTGTGCTAGTGTAGAGCTAATCAGACTTCATTCCCAGATGGATTTCAGAATTGGCTTTGGGTCGCCTCCAAGGCCACTGAATTCTATTGACTTAATGGAAGCATACAGGTACTGTTTACAACAGAACTTGGCTTCCCAGCAATGCTAGGCTGAGTCACTGCAGGGTCAAATCAATCTTCATCACCTCCTGTGAAATACATTATCCTATGGCTTATGCGTACTTGTCTTTATTTTTCTTTTCTTTTTTTTACCTAAGTACTGTGAGGTAAGGTTGCCATAGTTTTTATTCATTTTGTTTACACAACTTTCCTATAACCAATGGGCGGAAAGTGTTCACCCAGCAGGCCTGGGTTGCTCAAATCTTCACATTTCAAAAAATGGCCTGTCTTCAAGACTGGCCCTTGTCAATATAAAATTGTATGTCAACTGTAATGAAAAAGTAAAACAACAACACATTTTTTTCAAAAAATATTTTTTAAAGAAATATCTGTTAAAAAAAAAAAAAAGACTGGCCCTTGGCTGGCCCTTGGCTGACCATCTCCGAGCCCTGGGAATATTCTGCCTTAAAGAGTGTTGTGTGTGCCGGAGGCCTTGGCCCATGGTGTACCAGTTTGACCAGATAAGTTGACTAATAATGTGACTTATGATGAATGTCTAGTTCAGCAGAGGATCGGGGTGGAAGGGCTGGGGTCAGAGTGGCTGAGGTCAGTCACACAGACATGAAGACCCTAGACACCAAGGTCAAGTAAGGTTCCCTGGTTGGCAATAAATACCTCACACGTGTTATGCCACATCACTCCTGGGAGAATAGGGGTGTCCTCATGCCACTCCACCCAAAGACTATGCCTGGTTTCTCCTGACTTATGCCCATGAGCCTTTCACTGCACTGGGTTTTCACCTGTTTCCTCCCGCTGCCATAGACCACAACCATGAGAATAACAGCTTTTCTGTGAGTCCTTTTAGTGAGTCCTCCAGCCTGAGGGTGGCCTTTGGGGACCGACCTCTTAGACAACCAGGATTTTTATTTTCTTTAAAACAGTGACTTACCTTATACTGAATATCCTGGAGGATTTCGGTCACAGCCTTTAGGCCTACATGTTCTTTTCCTATCTGAAATATATAAAGCATATGCCATTAACCACAAAAGTATTAAATACTTAGCTTTTGCTCAAAATAACTAATTATAGTAGCGAGGATCAAGTCCACCTGAATTTCCTTCTTGGGGAATAAATCAATGACCTTTTCATGAATAACCGGGGAAACATTCACAGAAGGTAACTGAAGCTGTAACAGAAGCTATAGCACAATCAAATATTAGATATGTTCTTGGACGTTTCCAAGAACCCATCTAAATTCATCATGCTGTGTACAAGGCTGCAAATATGTCAAATCATCTAACACAGCAATACAAAAGTTTCAAGGATACTTCTGAATCAAAATTCCTCATCACATGCCCAAACCCTTCCATTTTTACATCTGACATGTCTAGATTATTGTTATAAAGATTTTATCAATGTTGAAAATTTTCATTAACTCAGAAAAGTGGGTATGTGCTTTTATAGGCTAAAGTCACCGACATCAGGACATTTCTTGATTACAACTGCACATAATTTCTATAATCACCTTTGTATTTTCAAATAATAATATGCTGTTCATGACTTTCTATGTTAAAACATTATATATCGTGACATCTTTTTCTTGTATACAATGCTCTAAGGAACTTGAGACTTTAAAAAAAATCTTACATTAAGTATTCTTGAATTTACATTTAAAAATTGTAAGTGCAATCTGATTTCCACTTTTCAATCAAGTTTCACTGGTCCAGGATAATGGGACACCTTGATAGGGGAGAGGATCTATAACCTCAGATAATCATTGCTATTGTTCACTTTTTCTCTTCCACATAAGTTTCTAGGGAATGACCTCTAAGGCGCTAGAATAGCTAGCAGCATGTTTGTATTCTCTGTTTCTCTCTATGTGAATCAATTGTGAAACATGCTAGTGGACAGGCATCAAGGAGGAAAGAAAAGAGAGAAGAAATCTGCACAATCTAAGATATGCCAATCAGTTAACAATAATCAAGACTTTACTTTCCAAGTGTTTGCCATTCCTGAGGTAGGCTCTAAAAACAGAAAATAAATTCTCTGGTGAAAAAAATACCTGAGGCAACTGAGTTCCTGAGTGCAAAAGCCCACGTGGGCCCTTCTTTGTTTTATTGGTTTAACTGTGGTGTAGCATTTGGAGGCCTGTGCCTAGAGCTGTTTTCATTTCCTGCGTCTCCGTCACATGGTAACTCCGAAGAGTCCGCATGTGAATGTTGTAAGGCCACATAAAGTAGTGGTTCAGGAGCAAGGTCATGTGGGTTGGATGCCTGAGTTCTGACTCTGACTCACTTTTCAGCCTTGAGCAAGTTTACTCAACCTCTATGCCTCATCTATACAGTGCGGAGGATAAAAGCGATGGGGTTGAAGATAAGACTAAACCAAACAGATACCTTAGAACAGGACATAGTGCAATGTAAGTCAATTAATATCACCCATATTGTTCTTACTCAGAAAGCCATACAGTATCAAGTAAGTTCTTACATATAGCAGCACTCAATAACTATCACTGGCCCCTTCTGTCTATAGAGGTTCTTCACTTTGTGGGCAAAGCTTTGTATCCAGCCACAAACTCAAGCTACTATTCCATCTCTTCCCTTCCCTTCTCTGCCAGATTTTTATCTGCAGAGGTTATAAGCACCAAAAAGCAAGTATAGATGACACTCTGCACACCCCAACCCCTAAATCCTACAGTAACCGAGGTGACAACACACCTGGTGCCAAGAGTCCACCAGGAGCTAGGAGACCAATTCACTTCTTACCTCTCACCTTTGCCATCTTTCACCACCACCCAAAATGCAAGCCCTCTGGTCACTTTCCTCTCCTAGAATTTCAGCTCTTCATTGCCGTGTATTTTTCCACCTCCCCTCATTTCCCACTATGCCAGCGGTTCTCAACCTGTGGGTCGCGACCCCTTTGGCGGTCGAACGACCCTTTCATAGGGGTTGCCTAAGACCATCCTGCATATCAGATATTTACATTACGATTCATAACAGTAGCAACATTACAGTTATGAAGTAGCAACGAAAATAATTTTATGGTTGCTTTCACAGGGGTCGCCTAAGACCATCCTGCATATCAGATTTTACATTACGATTCATAACAGTAGCAACATTACAGTTATGAAGTAGCAACGAAAATAATTTTATGGTTGGGTCACAACATGAGGAACTGTACTTAAAGGGCCAGAAGGTTGAGAACCACTGCACTATGCCCTCTGAGACAGGTAACTCCGCATCTTTGACAAGCTCTTCTACCACCTCCTGGTCTATGTGGACGCCCTCGGGTCCACACAAGGTCACAGCTCTCCCAGGCTTTGACTGGACACTGTGCAGCTCCCTCACATGAGACTGAAGCTGTGGTCAGTGCCCTGCTGTTACCGTCAGACCCATGTGCATAGGCTGTCCTCTGAGTGGACCATCCGCCACGGTCGCTATCATTTTCTTCTTGTCATTTACTGACACACTGGTCACTCCCTCGCAGTCATCACCCCCTGCCATCACTCTGGAGGACTTCATCATCCATAGTAGTCACCCGTCCCCTCCTGGCATGTCTCTTTACCCTCAGCCCCATCCTACCTCTGCAAACCATCCTGGGAACGCACCCTGGATTTTTTTTCACTCTGAAAACTTCTCACCTAACCAGCTCTCCTCTCTTGCCTCTCTTCCCATTAATGGAGCACAAGGAGCCAACTCTCAGGAGACTCTTGGCTTGGTCTCCTTCCCTTCCTGCCCATACTGACTGACATCTCTGCAAACACTCTCCATTACCTACTCCTTTTGTCCTCCTGAATCATCTGCTATGTAACGGATCAGTGGAACAATTTGCTAGAATCCTCTGCTCCTCTACCTGGATTGAGAACCATCCACAGTACACTGTCCTGTACAATCTGAGATAACCAGGCTCATGTGGGTCTCCCACACCAACTGTCAAGTCTATTATCATTCTTCTTTGGGCTATTCCAAAACCCAATTCCAAATCCACATTTCCTTTGCTCTATAAATAATTTTGCTTTCCTTTCTCAGAGATAATAAAGGTCATCAGGCATGAACTTCCCTAATTTCCTTCCTTTTCCACCTACAAATTCATCCCCTTTCTACCCACCTCTTCCTTTGGGCCTCTATTTTGAATAAAGGGTGGTTACCCAAGGTTAGTCCATACACATATGCCATATGCTCTCCATCCCATGCCCTCCTGCCCCCTCCAGGACTTTCCTATGTCCATTATCCCCTTTCTTGCCGGTATTTTTAAACCTTACACCCTCACTGCCTCTTTTTGCTCAGAATAAAAACACAGGCAAATCTCAAAAATGAAACAAACAGGCCTTCACTGTACATCCCCAAGTTATTATCCCTTTTGTCTTTCTTTTCTTGAGTCAAACTCCTTGAAAGGGACATCTATACTCACTGCCCTGAGTCCCCCTTCCCCCATTTTCCCACCCAAGTGTGACACCCTGGGGTGAACTACAGTCCCTCTCCTCTCTGCTCCAACTGACAATCCTTATCAGTCCTTCTTTCCTTCATGAAATTTTGCTTTCAAGTTTGTGTAATTTTACTTTCTCCTGAAAGGCACTGTCACAGAGATAACCAGAATTTTTCCTCAGAGCAAACGTATGGAAAGTTAGAACAAGTGTTCATGCTCTCAGACTTCCCCTTGCCTCCAATATTGAGCGTGTTCCTGGAAATACTCATGCTGGTTTCAAAAGTCTTGGCTTTCCACCCAATGCTCTAACTGTCCCTTCCCTTCCATATATGACCACTTGGTCACTGGAATTCTTATTTTTATTTTTTTTTTAAAGAATGAGACAACAGAGTGGAAGAATGGTTTCTGGTGCCAATTGGTGACATTAAATCGCTGTATGACTATAAACACTGACTTGACCTCTCTGGCCCTTCATTTCCCTTCTGTAAGATAGAGGAGGAAGAAGGCTAAAATGTCCAGGGTTTCCTTCACCTCTAAGTCTTTTTTCACATCAAGTATATAATAAGACAAAGTTAACAAGATTCATCTTAGGAATTAGATTCATTTGGGGGGTGTATTTTTTGTTTTGTTTTTATAACTTCATTTTTATATTTTTATTTTTGACACAACTACACATGTCCCTACCCCCACACCCCACTTTGCACACTGCCTCTGTCCCTCCTTCCCTCTGACCATCATTCACCTTCGATTACATTTTTACCTCTGAAAGCATATGGTCCACTTTTGTACATTTCACTCAATTTATATAATATACTTTGTCCACCACAGAGATCAAATCCCAACTTTATATTAACTATATCTATCAAGGTCTTTGCCTGTCTTATTTTATCCATGTTTTCTATGAGGCACTTCCAATCATCTTGGAGTGAAAATTATTAACAGCAAAGAACAAAAGAAATCCACTACAGGATTGCATTATTGATTTTCCTTAGATTTTGCAGTAAGCCAGAGTCCACAAATATTTTCAAATTCTTTTTCCTCTGCTTTCAGAACACATTTTTTAAATCATTTCTCCCAAGTCCCTCCATGGCACTCTGAAAAAAATATCTAACAAGTAAATGAACCAGTTTCTACTAATGAATATGACTGCTCTCTCATGACCCACAGAGACCAAGTTCCCTACTTTTAAATTGTCAGTGTTCTCTGTATATGTGTTTAATGTCCCCACTACTAAAATTTAAGGGAGACCAACAAATACTCTGGGTTCCAGTTCAAGATGGCAGTATAGAAAAACCCTGAGCTCATCTCCTCCCACAAACAAAAACATCTACAAAAGACCCCAAATAGCAATCTTGAGAAAGGAGAACAAAGCTAGAGATATCATGCTTCCTAATTTCAAAGTATACTACAAAGCTAAAATAATCAAAACAGGATGGTACTCATACCAAAACAGACACATAGACTAAAGGAACATTGTAGCGAGCCCAGAAATAAACCTACATATATGGTCAATTAATCTACGACAAAGAAAGCAAGGATATACAATGGAGAAAAGACAGCCTCTTCAATTGACAGTGTTGGGAAAATTGGACAGCTACATGCAAAAGAATGAGACAGAACCACTTTGTTATACCGTATACAAAAATGAACTAAAAATGGATTAAAGGCTTAAAAGTAAGACATGAAACCATAAAACTCCTAGAAGAAACATAGTCAATAGACTCTTTGACATCAGTCATAGCAATATTTTTTTTTTGGATCTGTCACCTCAGACAAGAGCAACAAAAGCAAAAATAAATGGGACTATATCAGACTAAAAACTTTTTGCACAGTAAAGGAAACCATCAACAAAACAAAAAGTCAACCTATTGAATGGGAGGAGATATTTGCAAATATATCCAATAAGGGGTTAGTGTCTAAAGTATACAAAGAATGTATATAACTCAATATCAAAAAAAAAACAATATGATTTAAAAATGGGGAGATTATCTAAATGGGCATTTTTCCAAAGATAACATACAGATGACCAACAGGCAAATGAAAAGATACTCAACATCACTAATCATCAGGGAAATACAAATCAAAACAACCATGAGATACCACCTCACACCTGTCAGAATGGCTATTATCTAAAAGATAATAAATAACAAGTATTCACAAGAATGTGGACAAAAAGGAACCCTTGTGCACTGTTGGTGGCATTGTAAATTAGTGCAGCCACTACAGAAAATAGTATGGAAGCTCCTCAAAACGTTAAAAATAGAACTACCATGTGATCTAGCAATACCACTTCTGGGTATATATCCAAAAAGAAATGAGAACACCAATTAGAAAAGATATGCAACCTTAATTTTACTGCAGTATTGTTTACAATGGCCAAGATATGGATGCCAACTAAGTGACTATTGATAGATGAATGGATAAAGAAGATGCAATATATATTATTAAACACACACACAGGAATATTACTCAGCCATAAAAAAGGATGAAATCTTGCCCGGCTGGCATCACTCAGTGGTTGAGCATCAACCTATGAACCAGGAGGTTGCAGTTCAATTCCCAGTCAGGGCACATGCCTGGGTTGCGGGCTCAAATCCCCAGTGTGGGGCATGCAGGAGGCAGCCCATCAATGATTCTTTCTCATCATTGATCTCTCTCTCTCTCTCTCTCTCTCTCTCTCTCTCTCTCTCTCTTCTCTCCCTTCATCTCTGAAATTAATAAAAATATATTTTAAAAAAAAGAAATCTTGCCATTGGCAACAACATGGATAGACCTAGAGGGTATTAGGCTGAATAAAATATGTCAGACAGAGAAAGACAAATACTGTATCATTTCACTTATATGTGAATTCTAAAACAAACAAATAAAACAGAAACAGGCTCAGATACAGAGAACAAACTGATGGTTTTCTGGGGGCAGAGGGGTGGAGGTATGGGCAAAAAAGGTGAAGGGGATTAAGAGGTACGCTCTTCTGGTTAGAAAATAAATAAGTAAGAAGGGTACAGGATACAGCATGGGGATACAGTCAATATTACTGTAAACATTTTGTGTGGTGACAGATGGTTATTAGAGACTTATCATGGTGATCATTTCGTAAGTATATATATATCTTGCAAAATGAATTGGAAACAAGCATTTGAACAATTCAACAATCATAGGAGACCATTTACCTGAACAAACAAAGCAATGATGGCGATTCCATGCGGCTTCCCCACAGCCTCGTCAATACTGCCAAACAGGGTGGAGTTCCAGTGGATCAGATGCAACTGGGTGAGCAAGAACAGACAGGTGACCTCGTTACTTAATGTACCCCCCATAGAGAAAAACAAAGACAGATCAACTTTCCGTAACTATGTGTATATGGTGTCATAAGCAACAAGAGTATCACCAAGAGACACTATAGATTACTGCCTTAACACAGCAATTCCCCTGTAGGAATTTCTTCCTTCTTACTTCTGAGCAGAAGCAATGCTTAGTGGCTTGCTGCCTCTCCAGTTGTGCTTTAGTCCTAATCAGGACCACATCGGAGACTGGCAAATTTCCCACTGATTTGGTTGCCTTTCTTTAAATGTCATACCCTCTGGATCTCAATGGAACAAACACGAGAACTCAAAGGATTAGTACCTGCAGTATTTCCATCAAGAATAAGGCAAAGCCTGTCTCAAATTCTGGTAAATTATTTCAACCTTCTAAGCCAGGGGTGGGGAACGTCCGGCCCAAGGGCAGCATAAGGCCCACGAAATCACTTGGTCTGGCCCTGCCAAGGCATTAGGGGTGATTTCATTAAACGTATGGAAAAATGTAGCAGGCTAATTTTTAAGTTGATAATTCTGTATGGCCCGTGAATAATGTTATAAATATCCAAATGGCCCTTGGCAGAATAAAGGTACCCCACCCTAAGCATATCCAGAGATAGGATCCTATAAAAAAATACTGCATCTTTTTAAAGCCATGGTGAAATAAAAAAAATGCTGATGTGGAGCTCTAAAAGAAGGCCATTTCCGGCACTGGAGATAAAGTTTAATCTGTGAAGGAATGACAAACAATGCTCAAGAGGACTCCCTCACTCCTGGTCTCATAAAGCTTTGTCGCTTTCAAGTTTATCTCGAATATGCACTTGTTCCTACAGCCCTGATGAAACACTTGCAAGAAGCCAAATTCAATTCCCTGGCTAAAATTAAATGGCCACTGAGGTTCTTAGTATAATAGTATCTAGGTAAGCCTCTACCTAGAATACTATCTTCGTCACTCTAGCTTTTAATCATAATTACTTACCACCTTAAAATACTGCCTCATTTAAAAATTAGTTCTAATCCAAAAATACATAGCTACAATTCAATCACCATGTCATTTTAGCATCCATATTAAAATATTATGGAAAATTATCATGAGGATTGCCACAAATTTGATGGGGTTTTTCCTGCTAAATGTGTCCAAGAATCTGAAATTTTAAAGCTGACCACCAGAGGGAGGTAATGAAGTCTTCGGCCCATATGTAATAGAAACGGTAGCCTAGGAAAAGACTACTAATATACCCAAGATAAGGGTAGGTCAGGCTCTGAAAAATCCACAAGGACTATGACTGCCCAATAAATTTAACTGTCAAGGCACTGCCTTTAAGAAAACAATGTTTTATAACCTTTCCGTTAATAATGAAAGACCGACCAATTTTAATCTTTCCTTTTCTGGCTGCAACAATAGCATAGCCGTCCCAGTGGTACAGATAAGTGTACAGAGGTGTAGATAAGAACTGACTGCCTTAGTTAAATCAACAAAGAAGGCCCAAGGTTGAAATCTAATTGTATTCGACAAATTACTAACTTCAAATCAACATTTTTCTTACTTCTCATAGCCACATTATGGGGTATATTTTCTGATACAAAACAAATAAACCAAAAAAGAATGGTCTCTTTTTTTTTCTTTTTTGTCACCCCTCACAATCCAGCAACATCATCACTGACACCAACTCTTCAAAATCTGGTGCACATTTTTTTGTGTTTAAAAATGTAAGGGTACCCACTCCATAAGTGTGTGCTGCACATGGTGACTTCATTTCCAAGAGTGTAGTACAGCCCTGGTGGGGTGGCTCAGTTGGTTGGAGCATTGTCCCATACACCAAAAGGTTGCGGGTTTAATCCCCAGACAGGGTGCATACAGAAGGCAACTGATCAATGTTTCTCTCTCTGTATCCTCTCTCTCCCTCCCTCCACCCCCTTTGTCTCTCTCTCGAAATCAATAAAAACATAACCTTGGATAGGATTTTTTTTTAAAGAGTATAATACAGAAGAGTAACTTTACAGTGGAGAAATCTGACAAATACTACCTGAGCCAGGTGATCAAGGTCAACATCAACAGTTATCAGTCATGTTGCTAGTACCGATGGTTAATTCAATTACCAAGCAAATTTCTGACACATTCTGGAAACGAGCTGTAACCTACTATGTATTTAATTATATGTAGTAGTAACTCAGATGCGCAATCCACAAACATAATAACACTCTACAGTTTCTTGTCTCTCAGCGTTAGCTCACTCCACCTGTCTGCTAGGGCTGCCATGACAAAGTACCACAGACTGGGTGGTGCAAACAACAAATAACTTGTTTTCTCACAGTTCTGGGGGCTGGAGTCCAAGATCAAGGTGTCAGTAGGTTTGGTTTCTTCTGAGGCCTCTCTCCTTGCTTGTACATGGCTGCCTTTTCCTTGTGTCCTCATATCGTCTTTTCTCTGGGCATATCTATGTCCAAATTTCCTCTTTTTATAAGGACACCAGTCATACTGGATTAGGGCCCATCCTAACAACCTCATTTTAACCTAATTACCTCCACAAAGATCCTGTCTCTAAATATGGTCACCTTCTGATGTACTAAGAGTTAAGACTTCAACATATAAATAGGGGGGGGGGGAGCACAATTCAGCCCAAACACCTTTTTTCTCACCTTTTCCTCACCTTAATGAAGCTTTTCAGATCTAAAAGCTTGAATTGTTCACATCAATTTCTGCACTCCCACAGTCCCTTCTTTATTCCTATCATCTTGTATTTTGCCTTATGTTAGTGTTGCTCTGTTCCATAAAGCAAAGCCATGTAGATACAGAAAAATGATCAGTGTATTTGAATAACTAAGAGTAGCTTGTGGGTAACTAACGGGTACGGAAGGCTGGCAGTGACAGGAAAGATGAGGCTAGAAAGCTAGAGGGGTTCAGATTGCAGAGCCTTAAATTTTATCATGACTGTGTTTTGGGAATCACCAAAGTAATATTGCAGTGAATATTATCATTACTTATGCTGTTTAGACCCAAACAAACTCCCCATACCAATGTCTTTCCTTCAAAGGCCCTTCTGGCAGTGTGGGGGTGAACTGGAAGTGTGAGACCTGGGAGGCTACCACAAAAGTTCCAGCTGAAAAATCATGATAGGGGTGTGGGATGGTTCATTTTATGTGCCAACGTGGCTAGTCCACAGTGCCCAGCTGTTTGGTCAAACATCCTTCTCAGTGGTTCTCAACCTTCTGGCCCTTTAAATACAGTTCCTCATGTTGTGACCCCAACCATAAAATTATTTTCGTTGCTACTTCATAACTGTAATGTTGCTATTGTTATGAATCATAATGTAAATATCTGATATGCAGGATGGTCTTAGGCAACCCCTGTGAAAGGGTCGTTCGACCGCCAAAGGGGTCACAACCCACAGGTTGAGAACCGCTGGTCTAGATGTTGCTATGACGGCATTTTTTTAGATATAACCTTTAAATCAGTAAACTTTGAATAAAGCAGATTACCTTCCATAACGTGGTTGAGGTCCCCCAAAGGAGAAGCAATTCTACCTCCAGATAATAACATAAAAATTCCACCTCAGCTTCCAGTCTATGGCCTGCCCTAAAGTTTTCAGATTTGCCAGTTTCCACAATCACATGAGCCAGTTCCTTAAAATAAATCTTAATTCGTCATCTCTCAATAAATAGATAAATAGATAGACAGACACAGACATAGATATAGACAGACATACATAGACGTAGGCGTAGACATAGACATAGACGTAGACATAGACCTGTTTAGATATATATCTGTTTCTCTGGAGAACCCTGACTAATACAGGTTGTGCAAACAAATTTTAAAAAGTATAAAGATGAATGGAGATTTTAATCTGAACAAGACTAGTAGCAACAGGAATAAAGACATGGTTCTAACAATTAAAATTACAATATTTGGAATGTATTCTCCTAACAGTAAACACGGTTCTTTTGGGGAAGGGAAATGGGAACACAACAATCCACTGATGATCAGAAGGAACATATTAGAACTTTTACTGATGTTTATTTTTTTTTTAATATATTTTTATTGCTTAAATTATTACAAAGAGTATTACATGTTTCTCCTTTTTTTTCCCCCGCCCTTGACAATCCCCTGGCCTCCCTTACCCCAACCCTCTCTGGCCTTCCCGCTGCAGTTTGACAATCAGTTTGAGGCAGCTCTGCCTCTGTATCTATTATTGTTCAAAAGTTTGTAATGGTCTTTATTATCCATGTATGAGTGAGATCATGTGGTATTTTTCCTTCATTGACTGGCTTATTTCACTTAGCATAATGCTTTCCAGTTCCATCCATGCTGTTGCAAATGGTAAGAGTTCCTTCTTTTTTACAGCAGCATAGTATTCCATCGTGTAGATGTACCACAGTTTTCTAATCCATTCATCTACTGATGGGCACTTAGGCTGTTTCCAAATCTTAGCTATGGTGAATTGTGCTGCTATGAACATAGGGGTGCATATATCCTTTCTGATTGGTGTTTTTGGTTTCTTGGGACTGATGTTTATTTTTATCCAAAGCCTTTTGTATTTCAAGTTTCCTATGCTTCATAAAGTAGATTTGATAGAAGGTAGATATATAAAGAGAGAGATAAATGATAGATAGAAAGAAAATACATATTAGTTCATGAATGTAATTTATTTAAAAATATAGACATACCAGAGGCCCAGTGAGAATGGAGAGCAGCTTACCAATTTGTAGGAAGGACCAAGTATATAAAGGCCCCTTAGCATTTCTAAGGAGTATAAGGGTTAAATAGAGCTATTACTGCCTCTGCTGCCTAGACTCCCACGGCCCCACTCGGCTCAGTCACTTCGCTCCTTTAGGGTCCATTGGCCTGGAGATGACCCCAGGCAGGACTCAGCCTCACTAAGACCTTCTGGAACCTCGTAAACACACAGCACAGCAGGTGGCACAGGGGCTGCTTCTTGCAGTTTGAACCCAAACTCCAACTATGGTACCGA